CAAACAGAAGTCAGTCCCCTGACTCAGGCCCAGCCCACCGATCCTGCTGTGGGCAGCAAATCTGGGGTTCATAAGCTGGTGAGTGTCACTGGTGTGTGTGAGCATGTGGTGTGCCCACACAGGACACCCAGGCTTGCTGGTCTTGTGTGCCCTAAACTGTGTCTCCTTCCAAGATAACTGCAAATCCCAGCACCATGACAGTTCCCCAAGACCGGGCCAAGACAGAGGGTGACAACGAATCTAACCTTATTCTGTTTGGTCCAGATTGGGTTCAAACACCACATACTCCATGTCTCTGAGTATGGCTCCCTGGTGTCAGTGTCTGGAACTCAGAGACTGGTTTTGCCAAGAGGTGGCCTGTGGAGGCTTTTGAGGAGTGTGGAATGGGGGCCAGGGTTCCTGCTCATCTCCTCTTAGAGAGAGGGAAGCTTTGGAGCAGAGCGTCCCATAGAGGCCCAATCTTGCTGGGGCCTACAGAGGTCCCACCAGGCAGTGGGTGAGTGACTTTCATTTCCTATCCAGCCACTGGAGTTCATCTAACCAGACAAGCTAATAACCTCTCTCATCTGCCCATGTTTCTGTGGGTGTTTGAGAGGGAAATGTGGAACCTGACTGTCTGAACACAAAGTTCAAGAAGTTTAACTCACTTCACAGAAAGGCTCCTGCCTCAAGGGAATGTCGCTGGGCTTTCGGGCATTTCCCCAGGTACCCAGTAACCAGCAGAAGAATGCCTGGGCCTCAGAGGATGAAACAGAGCCAGGCAGCTGCCAGGGCTTCAACTTTGTGGGCCACCAATTTCACCCTGCTGACCATTTTACCAAACCAGAACCCCACAGAGCGTGGGGACTGCACAGGATGGCAAATGCCTGAAAGTGCTTTGTGAATCAGAAAGCACCAGGGTGGGGATAGGTGATTGCATCCATTCCTGGGGGGTGCGTGGCTGCTGCAGGTGGCCTCGCTCAGAATGGCAAAGGAAGCTGCAGCAGAGGCTCCTAGTCTGAGAGAGGCCCAAAGAATCAACCAAACAATATTCAGCAATAAGAACAACAAAACCAACCGCATTTCTCTGTCCGGAGCATTACACATGAAGCACTTCTGAATCCTGTCCCAATACCATTTGCTGAGGCTCCCTGTGGCCTGTCAGACATGACCCCCATGTTACAGGTGGTAAAACTGAGGCTCAAAGAGGTGGTGCGATTTATTCATCTTCACAGGCCATTGAAAGGCCAAGTCAGGGTCATTCAAAGCCCAGCGGCATATTTTAAGATTTGGGTGGCAAGATAGATTGTCCTTTAGCACTGTCCGGCGTCTGCTAGGATTGGCTCTGGGGTGGTTGGACCAAAAAACAATTATTGTGGATGTATTTTGAAAACCAGTAAGCACTGTACAACCAGTATGACCTTATCGTTATTTCCATCATTATTATTAATTTCGGGGCAATGCTGAATGGGCCAATGTGGAACTATCTGCCTTGAATTCCTGCATCCTTCAGAGGGTTCCAAGTGTCCTGTGGTTTGCTAAGCTTAGGGTCTCTCAGGGGTCTAGTGCCCCCCGCAGCAAGTTTTCCAACTCCTGATATGTTTTTAAAATGTGGAAATCTGAAAATAGGGTTGGAAAAAAACTGCATTATGTTGTAAATGGTTATATCATCTAATAAATTGGGAGTTTGCTGTAGTCACACATAGGAGTTATTCAACATAACTTGGGCTGTTCAGATTATTAAAGCATTCGTAAAAGGTTGATACCCAGGGCCCTGCAGGCAGGCAGGGGTGGTCCAGTGTAGGGTATAGGTTGAAATGAACCATGAACATCTTTTAAACCTGTGAGGTGTAT